GCAAAGGGGGGGGGGGTGGTCTCCACTGGATAAAGTCATGCAAACCAAACAAACTATTGCCTTGATTTCCAAACTCCGCGTTTTCAACTGCAACAACTGTTTCATTGAATCAATGTATCCTTGATAATGATAGGAACAAATTCTCTGGATACTTTTATCGTAGTGATGAATACGATGTTCAAGAGCACGAGCAAACTTGTGGACGTCGCCACAATCATAGATCGCTCTTAAGAAAAACATCAAAATAATTTACAAGAGGCATTTGAGAAGAAAATGTTAGAAACTGTGCAATCTACCAACGTGAAACCCTCCGGCCAAGCGCGGAATTACCAAAACAAGAGAGTATGATAAATATAACTATCCAGAAGGTCTTCAAGAAGCGGTAGGTGAAAACTGACAGCATGCTGTTTAAAACAGAAACGTTCTAAATGTTGGCGATTCCCAGTAAAATCAGAAAATTAATGCAAAAAAATTACCAAAATAGCTTTAACAGCAGGATTCCTTTCGAAAATTTAAGCAAACAATGTAAAATAATGCAAATAATGACAAACCTGAGCACCAAGCCCACACTACCCGAATCTGTCGTTTCCAGTTCGTATAAGAAGAACTCTTGCTCCGCACTCATTTCAGGATCTAAATATTTCACAGAGAACAGCGCAATCAAGAAAATTCGGGCTACTGAGAAGGAAAGGCACAAAAGAAGCCTCGGAAACGTACACTGCTGATAGGAGGTAGAAGCCGTGTCACTGCTTCCCGTACCCGTTTCCTTCGATGCACTTGCCGCCGACGCACCGTCCATCTCCAGCTGCTTCTGCAACCGAACCGCATTCAGTACTGATACCGAAATGCCCAAGAAAACCCCGGCCTAAGAGGGTGGAATCTCGCCAGCTGCCCCTGGTACAGCAAGATATTCGAACCCTCAAAGGGGGTTTTCAAGAATTTAAGATGGACCAAGGCCGAGTAAAACAAGACGTTGACCAGGGTTTTTTGACAATTTGCAGCCAGAATAGATCAACTGAATGAGGACCATTCAACTTTGCTCTTGTCCACTACAACTCAGAGGTACCTCGTCAATTTGTTTCGGTCACTTCCCCGTATGCTGACAGAAAGCACGAATGTACAAAACGCAGTATATAAAGAGAAATACCGATTTAGCAGCTAATTTTCAGGAATGGACTGGCCAGGAGCACTAGC